TCATAATTATGGCCATGACTGCCACTTTTAAATTGATGTTTAGTTTGCCGTACTGTAATCAAAGCGATTAAACAGAGGCACATATATGTACATCATGCTTTATGTATACTCTGTTCTTGCCAAATACCCTGCGCAACAGTGCCACAATAAAACATAGAATGAATTAAGGGCATTTCGTGTGACAGAGCTTGCGTGGTCTTCCGTATAACCACTTTCATCTCGGCTAGGCAATGAAATCGCGCTGTTTGAAAGAACGGAACATTTTTCTACGCACCAAAAATTGCGATTCCTGCCTGCCCAATTCATAGAATGTACACCTAAATTAGACCGTTGCAAGTTTAAGCACAGATCTCAGGCTTACAAGAAGAGATCCCCCTAACGATAATTGTTTTTATGTATGTAGTATCTTCTTTTTTTCTTTTTGGTTTTGTTTTTGTGAATATTAATGTGGATATTCAGCGCTGAAGTATTGGAATTAACTCCGCCGCATGGCGTTGAAATTACCCGGCATTACTACTGATCCATTCGTGTAGCCTTGTCTCCCGATATGTGGCACGATTGAGCGTTTGCGTGATATAGGATTAGAATCTGATGATTCTAATCCTAGTGTGGACAGCAGAAAAAACCATGCTCAAACCGAAAAAAAAAGCGGTCACTTCGTTAAATTTGAGGTAATCTGAAAAGTAACTTATTTCTTTTTGAAGTAAACACAAATAAATTTTCGTCTCAGTAGCCGAAATGAATATTTGTCAACTAAGTGTAATTGTAATCGTGAAATATTACTTTTTTTTTTTTAGTAACTCTTACAAGACTGCATTACCGACTCCAGTCCATATGCCGTTTCTGGGGGAGATGAGTACGATGGGCTTCCGTGTATAAGTAGCGGCTGTAAAGGGAAGGAAAGGGGAGGGGGGCGCCTTGAAACAAAGCGCTTGTTTATAGTCACTGATAGGGTTAGAACGGCAGGGTGGTCCTTCGGTTGTTCTGCCTCTAGCGCGAGCTTCTTGCCTTGGATAACGCTACAGCGTCTCTTGAGCCTCCAGCGTGCGCTCGCAGGAGAAGCACGACGGAAGGCAAAAAGCGCTTTTTGGAGGCAGGGCATTGGAAAGGAACGCCCCGCCGTTCTTTTCCTACCGGCGACTCTAGAGTCATGCTGAAACTTACGGCGAGGGCAATATTCATGCATGGGCTAACGCGAATATAAACATGAACCAATGCACGTGCACAATGGCCTCCTGGAAGACTGGAGTCGGTAATGCAGTTTTGTATGAGTTACTTTATGAGCTTTCGTGACGTCATTTTGTTGCCACTTCGGTACCGCTTTTGGTGCGCGGGTGTAATAGGATGTTCAACACGCCATGTCGGAGATGTGCTGCCAGGCACCGTAGTCGTATACTTTGTGCTGCCCGCTCAAAGCAACAAAAACACGTAAAAAAAATGCATCAGTTATTTTTTTTTTTTGCGCGCATGTTGTTTTGTATTTTATGAATGTTGGCAGCATCTGCTTGCTCTTATGACATTAAGCTTAAATGAACGTTCGTCAGTACTATATATTTTTCTGCGTTGCTAGATTAAAATTTTGACTTTTCACAATCATGCTGCCGTGCTGCGTTTCTCGACGATCCACTTTTTTTCTTTATTCTAGGTTTTACTGTCTGTCTAACAATGAAGACTTATTCGTCTGTTCACATATCTACGCAGTGCGTGGCTTTTTGTACGCATAACGTAGACCATGCAAAAACTACGCATCGCACTGAAAATAAAAATTAAAAAAAAAAGAGTTAAGGTCGGATATGTTCCTTCCGAAGGGCGCACTTGAGAAAGTAGTGACGATCCTCATGAAGTTTCTAATTGAATCCTTACCCATAAATTCCCAAATTGGAAAGAGTATTATTTCAAAGGAAACAATAAACGAATTATTCCGAACGCTATCAATGTTTCCAAATGAACCCTTGGGCAGAACCCAATGCGACCTTAAAGGTCGACTAACAACCAGGAAAGGGGAAACGCTCCGTCAGTTCCTTCTCTCCATTTGAGAAAGAGGGAGACCTCCACCTTTCTACGGGGAATAGCTCGGAAACCCGCTCCTGCGGGGATAGGAGGGGGAGAGGAGTGCGAAAGGGATTCAAGAGGGTAATTGGGAGCCGGTTTTCTGCCCGGCAGAAAACGATTCTGTAAGTCGGCCTTTGAATTATTTTTTTTTAATTTTTTTTTTTACACTATGATGCGGTACTTTCCGCCAGAAGGACTTGGCCCGCGTTTCGAGGTTATAACGACACGGTTTGGAACGCATACGTTGTTGTAGATGTTCAGCTTTTTCTTTATTATCGCATTTAGTGAGTTAAAATTTTATCCAAGTATATGATAATAAAAAATAAAAAAAAGACGCGCAAGTGGCATTCGAAGAGGTGTTGTCTATAGTTCGCTCCGCGTCTTGCAGTGTTGGCATTTTTTCGCAGCCGTCGACGCGAACGTGCTCTTTCGTCTCGATTATTTTTCAGTCCTCGAGACTCCACATGTTAGAACTAACTGCTTGAGGATAAGCTGCCTACTCCCATTGTGAAAATATAGAGAAAGCAAGAGAGAGAGAGAGAGAGAGAGAAGGACAAGAGGCGGAGAAAAAGAAAGATACGTAACTGTTGTTATCTCGGTGCTAGGCACATATTTGCTTGTGGTAAAACAGGACTGGTTCAAACGGAGAGCTCACGCTTTATCCTCTTTTTCTTTTTGTTGCCGTGCGCAAGAATTGATAAAGTTGCGCCTCCGATAATGCTTGGAAACATCATAAAAAAATAAAAGTATACAGAGCGCGCCCACAGGCACACACACGTACACACACACACACAAGCAGGCTCGTCTGCGTGGCATATTCGCTATCTTTTGCGTGTGTGAAGTCCGCCGGCTCAGAATATACTTGTACTGTCCGCAACGGGCGGAGGGGAAAAAAGAAAAGTCGTAACCTTTATTCTCGTGGTGTAGGATCCAGCTATGGCTATCTCCGTGAACAACGAGACAAACGTCCGAAATGTATGTAGCACGGTTTTTCTTTGGTTCTTGTAACGAAAATCAAATGCTTTCTCGCATTTGTGAGCTGCGGTTAACGCGTTGCAGAAGTTCCTGGGCCGGTTTGCTGGTGAACACGGATATCTCTCCCGGAGGGTAAAAGTAACCACAAAAGAGATTTTGAAGTCACGTGACGAGCTCCCTAAGGACAAAAGAAAAACGCTTCGCTTCAATTTTTCAAGTCCGATTTTTTGCCCAGAAAGAACGTGAGAAGGCTTGAAATGGGAGAAAAACGAATCGTATTTGTGTATATAGTAAAACTGTCTATCTTGAATGAAACAATACGACAGGAAAGGCTTACGTCTGCTGAGCAGAATTGACTTGAACGCCAGGTACTTTCTCCCCACGGAACCGGTCACGTGACATCAATATTCCTCTTGCGCTTATTTTAACAGTGGTGGGGGAGATATCCGCATTCAGGAGCAAACGCCCTCGGCTAGTGGGAGATAACTGGTAGCCCCGGAGTTACTCCTTCAATGCTATATCACCTAAAAAGCCTAAGGAAAAGCGATGATTTTTCGCGCTGATTTCTACGGAGAAAGCAGTGTGGAAAGTAAAGGGTTGTGTCCCTAGCAGTGCCTGTGTTTGACGTCGTTATTGCGCATTCCCAGCCTTCACCTGCTTTGTGGCAGGTGAACGCTTAGCAGGTGAAAGCGTTCTACAGGCAGGTCAAAGCCCTGAATAAAAATGACACTCGGTGGCAATACTCTGTCTCAAGAGTATTTATTACCCAGTGTTGTGGGGGCGCGTGGGCGCAAATAAATAAACTTCGAAAGATTTTTTTTTTTTTTGTTATGAACATTTCTTAGATAGCAAAATCTGCTGGATTTCCGGCGTCACTTTTCCGGCGATTCGTGTGCATTTAAAGACGGCACGAGCCACAGCGGAACGCTGGCCTCCATGACGTGACGTAGCAATCCTAGCACCGCGGCCTTATCTAGCGTGGCCTCTCGATGCGGGTTTAAACAGGGGCGGAGAGTCCTATGGTTACACGACCAGCGGGCCTTGCTGTGCCACAACATTTCTAAGATGCAAAAGTTGGAACCACGGCGCCCGTTTCCAGCTTGCAAACGTGCGTGTACAGTCGAGGTCAGAATAAACGGGGACGGGTCAACGCGTTCGCCCCAGAATGTGAACTTCCGCATGTGATGCTGATTAAAAAAATAAAAATAACACTCACTTCATGTCGTATGTCGGATTGGTTTCTTCATAAAACCTTTTAGGCACCATCGAGACATATTGTGCACTTCTGCACAGTTGTTCTTTTGAGCCTAAGAGCTGAACGTTCCAATTTGTTTTGCCCCCTACGGTAGAACAGTGTTTTGAATTTATTTAGACAGCGGGAAGTTATTCAGCCCCAGTGTGCGTCTGTTTTTTCCGGTATGATGAGAAATTTAGCCAGTGCAGTACGACCGCTTGTCTGGGGTCTTTAAGGCGCATCACGCAGTAGTGATACAACACCAAACGCGGGTACAATGCTCATCCAGATCAAAACAAGCAGGGATAGGGAATGAATCCAGGATCACCGGGTTCTGTCATACTGCTGTATAAGAGCAGGAGGAGGGGGCATGTCATCTTAGCGCCGTCGCCTCATACCCTCCTTCTTCTTTCCTCTCTGCCGGAAAATAAGGCCAGAAGCGATGAACGTTCCTATTTGTTTTGTCCGCTACCTTAGAACGGCTTAGCGCCATCGCGTCGTTGCTTGATCCCTCCCTTGCAAGATGATGAGTGGTTAAGCGATGAGCGTTCCAATTTGTTTTGTCCCTTATATAGAAGAAGATATCAGTCCAATGATCTGTCGTCCCATGGACCCTCTTTGTCCTGCGCTTTCCCGCAGGGTGATGATGAGTGCATAAGTGATGAACGTTCTCCTTCGTTGTGTCCGCTATATCGTAGCTCAGCGCCGTCCGCTCATTCCTTCTTCCGTTTCCCTGCAGGAAGATGAGCGCATGATGGACCATGAAGCAGAGCTCGAGGCGGCCATCAACTTGTCCACGGCCCAGGCCACGACCGCAGTTCGCGCCCAGAGCGCTACCCCGACCACCAACGGCGTGCTGCACGAGGACGTCGCCGACGCCACGCCTCAGGTGCGTACCCTTCCCTTCCAACTATCGCCGTCTGCTCGCCGCCATCCTTCTTCCACTGGGCTGTTGTGGAACGCGTCGTTTGGCACGCGCAGTAGATCCGTTTCGCAAAATATCATGTGCCGCACGTGCGTCCTTAGATCAGCGAGTCAGCATTTGTGCGCCTAAGTGATAAGTGCTGGTAAGGTATATGGTCCGTTTGCAAAACGCAGGGTATGGCCAATTAGGATCACGCTTCTGGCTCCGTGATTGGTTCTTCGGTGCTCTCACCACACTCTAAAAAAAGTCTGTCCGTCTACTTCAACGCACAAAACTCGGAGAGCCAATCAACGCAACTGACGGAGGCAGCTCAGCGAATGACGATGCCGAAACATATGTTTAGACCAAAAAACACAGTCGTATATAGTTGTGAAATTAGGCAATGCAACACGTCACGGTTGCATTACTTAATGTCACAACTCAGTCTGCGTTTTTTGGTCTAAACAGATGTTTCGGCATCGTCATTCGCTGAGCTGCCTCCGTAAGTTGCGCTGATTGGTTCTCCGAGTGTTGTGCGTGAAAGTAGACGCACAGACTTTGTTTTAGAGTGCAGCAGATGCCGCACTCCGATTGGCTGCGGAGAGATAACGCGATCATCAGGACTTGCCACACCCTACTTTTCTTAGGTTATCAGTGACTATGATGTAATCATTCCGAGAACCAAATCGACGTGGAAAGGAAATAAAAAAAGTAAGGAAGATACCTCCTGTTTGCTTCGCGAAACGCCCCACCCCGTCCAATTCCCGGCACATACGTGTCCGTCGACACACATGGACACACACACACATATGTACCTAACAAACGAACATCAACGCGAAGCGACGGCGCTGGCTTGATGACGAGTCTTGAACAAACACGGCGTTGCAATTGAGATAACCGCCAGTTCCGAGAACGTCGTATCGGGCAATCGACGCGCCTGTGACTCCACCTCAATTGACAGGCCTGCTTAGAAAGCGGTTTTCTCTCTCCCCCCTCTTCCTCCGGAACTTATCACGCACCACTCACACATGAGCCTGCGTTTAGCGAACACTGTTAGAACCCCGACGATAAGATTCGTATATTACGCGCGCGAACATTGCGTAAGATTGTCCTCCGCGCGCTCCGCCCACAAGCGCGTGCGGTGGGGGGATGCGGGAGGCCTTGACTTTGTTTCTCGTAAGCTTTTTTTTCTTTCCTCGTTTGTTGAGCGCAGTGTCAAGGCGACACGGAGAAACAATGTCAAGCTGAAGGTCGGCCACAGAAGAGGCGTTGTCGTCTGCGTCCTATGTCATATGTAGGCCACGCTCGAGCTCGCGTCAAAGTAGCACCCGTAAGCGGGAACGCGTAAAGAACAATTGTTGCTCCATTCGTGCAAGATTACGAGTGCGATTACGAAACTTGCCGTACGCCGCGACATTTTTTTCTTTTAAGAGATACTTGTATGCTCAGTGCACTTGCTGTCCTTTCGCCCTTTAGCGACCGCTGGAAGTGCTACCCCTTTTGATGATCGCTCGTAGGAGGGCGATATGATAGCCGATAATTAATTTGTCCACTCTATGCTTACTTTGTGAGCAGGTCCCTAACATGATAGCAATAGCGATTGGCTGTCTCTAGTGCTTTGCGGGAAAGGAGATGTACAGGGGCCCTAGACTCGTCAAACATAAAGTTGAAACCGAAGCTTTGCGGAGCTTCGCCGATTGGACTTCGGCACAAGAAAAGCGCGTCGTCGTCGTGGGGAGAGTTTTTAAAGGGCGAACTTTTTGAAGAACAGCCATCTTGCTGGTGGTGTGGGTAGAGCGTCTGATAGTCAATTATTGCTGAGGCGTAGCCCCGGCCTTAGCAACGCTTGACTAGAGGACGATCTGCCCATACCAGGCACGTAGCCAGGGGGGGGGGGGGGGGGGGGGGAGGAGGAGGGGCATGGGGGCCTGCCCCCCCCCCCCCCCCCCCCGATAAAAATCTTCCATTTTGCTGGGGCCGCCTCTCCCCCCTCCCCCTCATAGAGCATTTTGTCATGGGTGCCCCCCCCCCCCCCCCCCCCCCCCGAAATAAATTCCTGGCTACGTGCCTGACCCATACCACAGGAAGATGGCGGCGCCCAGAGGCCGTACTTGCAAACGTCTGCTCGCCATGATTGGTCGTTTCCTCCTCTCCCGCCTTTGCTCTGCTGAAGTGGAAAGAGTTGGGGGGTATGTGAGAGGAGTTTGGCCCGCTTTTCTTACTCTGCAACAGACTATAGTCTAGACATCATTCATAGCCTCTGTGCTTTCACGAAAACGCGTCTGTCTGCGAATACACTGGAAACATTTACTCTTCCCATTTTTTTTTTCTTTTGCATTTTGAAAATCCGCGGGTTGTCATCCAACATGCCGCTTCCGCCAATTAGTTAGTTTTATTGTCGCTCTTTCCTTCTATTTTTTTTTTCTGGGAGCTTCTCATACAAAAGACAACAAAGAGATAAAACGAGAAATTTTCCTTACATCCCTACGTCTAGACACAGAGAAGAAAATATCCTTTTGTTTCTTTTTTGATTACCTCCTGGTTAGCGCTTTCCTCCTGGAAAGAAACGGTTCTTTTATTTTCGTATCGTCTTTCGTCGCCTGACCTTCAACTTCGGCGACGACCGAAAACTTATTCAAACCTTCCTTCTCGTCACATATACTTCGTCCCACTCTCACGGTACCATGGCCATAGCTACGGGGCCGCCAGGTCTAATCATGAGCCAGCTCCGAGCCACGGGGTGCTGTCAGACATCTCTATCAGTGTTCTAAACAATCTATCACGTGGTTTCTCGGAGCACTCTAAACCACCTGGTTTCTAACTGGCTTGTGATTGGACCCGAGAGCCCGCAGCTTTGTCTTTTAGTTAGGCATGTCGCGAAACTTTGTCGAACCTCGAGTTTCGACTTTTTTTTCGGCGAACTTTCGAACTTTTGCCAAAGTTCGACGATATTAGACTTGTGATCAGTGTTTCCCGGCATAGTATTAAAAACATGTGGGGAAAAATAATTTTTGCAGAAGTTAATATCTTATGAATCTAAGAATCATAAAAGCAAGTACTATAAAACGTTTAATGATTCAGTTTGTCTGTTGATTTGACGCTCTACACCAGACATATATTTCATCTTCCCTTCGCCAGGCGGCGTCAGCTCGTTTTCAGTTCGTTTCAGCGCTCGCGCATTATAGTCGAACTGGTAAGTCGAACTGATGTCAAACTTCGCGCTTAAATGCTCGGGTCCTTTTGAGTTGGCGCCATTCGGGTGTGATGACGTCATGTGGAGGTAGATCAGGCTGTTCGCAGGCCTCGATTATAGTGGGGTTGATCAAGCGCGAAAAATGCCCCCTTGATATTGCGCTTCTTTCATTCTTTATGAGATTACGGCATGAAGGCACCGTCTGATCTTAGCATCGGTTGCGTTTACGAGTAAGTATTTGCTCACCCGGTATGCGCTGTCTATTGGAGATGCACTGAGGGACAAGATATATCTGACAGTATTGAGAGCGAGGGTATAGGCAAGTAAAAAGGTTATCGTGATAAAAAAATGAGGATGTTTGTGTTTAGAGTTTGTAAGGTTCAGGTCTGCGTTTGAGGCATGGTGACACTGGTTTACGCCATAGATGAGAAATGCAACCAGTGCAATACCACTCCTAACCTCGGGTCTTTAACGTGCATCACGCAGTAGCGATACACGTCCGCACGCCGGTACGATCGAGGACAGTAGGAAAGCACGGACGGTGTTGAACAGCAAGAGCGGCGCGCGACAGGTTTCTGAGCTCGTAAATTTCCTTTTACGGCTTTCGAACGTGGTGAAATTACCTAGAAAGTAAAACGGCTCACCAACCCTCACACGTACAAGTTTGGACGCAGATTTTTGTTTTTCTGGTTATAATGCGATCATTTTTAGAGCGCAGCTCTTAGGGGCCCGTTTCCAGCCTGAGCGGCGTCGGCGTCGGCGTAACCGGGGGGGGGGGGGGTCACGTGACCCGAGGGGGGGGGGGGTGTTGTGACCCCCCCCCCCCCCCCGAGGTCACGTGACACCCCCCCCCCCGGAGGTCACGTGACCCCCCCCAGGTCAAGTAACCCCCCTCCCCCGAGATCGCGTGACCCCCCCCCGGGGTCACGTGACTACCCGCAGGTGACGTGACCCCCCTCAGTACCCTTCCCTACTCCTCAAGAGCTGCGCTCCCATTCGGCGTTACAGGGATTTGTAAACGGCTTTCATTTTTTTATTTCATTTTTTTTTTTCAATTTCGTGATTTGATGTCGCTCGACCCATATTTACAAATTCTTTCTCCACTCTAAACCTAGAGGACAAATCGACGCCACGCGACTTTAACACCAATTCAGTTTCCCCGGAAAGTTTACCGGGAAAAATTGATTTCCCGTCAGCCATGACCAACGCACCAATTTAGTTTTCCCGCTAAATTTAACCGCCGCACTTTATAATAAAACAACAAAAGCAACAACAACAACAACAACAACGTAGCTTCTTCTCCACTCCATGGAACTGTCATTTAGCGTCTCCTGAACAAGTTTACAGGCTTAGCCGCGTTTACACCGGTACTACATCGTACAAAAGACGGTCTGCAAACACGTTCGCGTCATGCCTATAAGTATGAAGGAAGTCTGCTTCGAATCTGTTCAAGACGTCTCTGCGGAGATTTCTCCGCCGTCCTGTCCGCGGAGAAACTCCGCGTCTCTTTGTACGATGTAGGAGCGTTGTGTCCGTGACTCTGGCTTTAGCATTCATTGTCGCCGACAATCGACGCGGAGGCCTGGCTGATATGTGACGTCACAGTGAACGTTGGTGACGCGTACGGTGTCTTGAGGCGGCTCGGGAAAGCGTACGAGTGATCACTGGGCTCTGAACATGGGTGGGTTATATATATCGAGATGATTTATATCGCGATTTAAGTCATGTTTTACATCGTGAAATAAATCGGACTAGTTTTACTACGATTATTTCAATTAAATCTTTCCCACGG